TAACCACTAGTCATTCTTATTCACTTGTTGTATTCAACACACCAACACAGTCCCAACTAGTAACCACTAGTCATTCTTATTCACTTGTTGTATTCGACACAACAGCACAATCCCAACTAGTAAGCAGTGGTCATTCTTATTCACTTGTTGTGTTGTAATGGAGACGACTAGTCGGGGAAGCTGGTACCCAGTAGTCCTTACCAGTTATAATGTGTCATCTGAAGTAAATGAGATCTATCAATCGTTATAATATGTTACCTCCAATCATGGATTACTTCCAGCTGATCTGAAATAGTGACGTAGAAATGACATCACTGCAAAACTGAGGTGTCATGAAGCCTGCGAAAATTGACCAGTGAGAAATAAAAACATGCCCATCATTGCAATAAAAATATAAAACTTATTAGTCATTGTGTCACTGTTATCATCCTCTTATAATTAGCAACTTTTTTATTTTATTTGGTTGCCTGGAAATCCATAATTTCAAGAGACAAGTGACACCTCAGTTTTGCAACTTTTCTGGATTTTGATTGGCTAACATTTTGTTATACATCAGCTGTTGTCTTCAACTTATATAATTACCTCTCTTGTATTTTAGGGTCCCAAAGGACCTCCAGGAATCTCAGGAACAGATGGCTCTCCTGGACCACGAGTAAGTAAAACTATAACCGTTTTTCTGTCAATTGTTGATTAGTGATTTTAATGATTAAATAACGAAATTCTTTTTCCATATCAGGGTGGTCCTGGTTCACGAGGACCGCCAGGTGCTTCAGGACCTAACGGCCTGCCTGTAAGTATCACCTTCAATGTATCATTTTAAACAGCAGCTTTTAAAATACGATCTTGAGGGCTTAACTCCTAAGGGAGAAGGTAATGGAAGGGCCCCATTTTTTCCATATTGCATACTAGTCTCTTTTATATTTTACAGTCTTAGCCCGCTCTTCCACTTTTTAGGGTGTTACGCGTTCCCTGCAGTAAAAATTAGGGTGGAGTAACAAGCCTTGCAAATCTCCCCATATTCTTAGAAATGTTGCAACTGCTCCAGAAAACTACTTGGTATTTAATAGAAGGAAGTGTGGTTGGGTCTTTCTCGGTGTTGCAAGATGTATTCACGGTATTCCTGTGGTACCGTTCTTTGTATTGCAGGATATTGTTTAGCTCCAAACGCCTTGCAGCGTGTAACCTACAGCGCAATTTAAAAAAATATTGCGAGACAAGTTGAAGCATTCGTTCGAAAAAGTAGAATTAGTTTCTACCTTTGGCAACGATTACGTCTCCATTGCACCCTGCAAACACTGTTTCAACGCTGTTGCGAGACAAATTGCAGAGGAAATTGCTCTGTGTAATTGCGCCTTTATCCTTCCCCCTGTTGGAAAACCAGAAGCTGCTTTTGTGCACAGAACTGATCAAATTTGCGCACCTTTGGCTTACTGAACACTGATAAACAAAGATGCTTTATATCTTTAGCCACTCACATCGATGTCTTTGCATTTTAGGGTGAACCTGGACCAATTGGACCACTGGGAGAGCGCGTAAGTACGACAGTTTAGTTTAATAGAAGTTGTGAACTTAACAAAAGGGTGGGAAAAAACCTTTATTGTAGTATGGGTTATCTCATAAAATAAATAAATCACTTTTATTCAAGTGTCTAGTCGTTCTAGCGCTTTCGCACTAATTGGGGACACTTTTCACTCACACGCACTACCACTACATTCAATATTCTATGCACACAACGCTCAACTCATGTCCGTTATTTTTCGGACAAAATACTTAAAATCTCATTCAATTTGCGATTCATGCAAAAAAAAAATCCTTGAAAATATAATAGGTATAACAAGGTGAAATTGTAAAGCCATTCTCCAGAAAGAATGCACTAAACATCCCCCCCTTAAAATTGAAGTTTTTAAACAAGAAATATGGTAACGTTTCTTTATCTTAATATCATCTTATCTCTCTTTCACCACAGGGTTTACGTGGACGACCGGTGAGTAGAATATTTATTACTTAAATAGGACTCTGTTGCAAATTGGAACAAAATTGCACTGTTTTATGCGGCAATGCAGAACAACTTCTAGCTGGAGCTGAATCATGTAATCATGGCGGCTCAAGAATGTTTCGGAAAATAGAGGATTTTAGAAAGGAAAACTAAAAGGATTACAGTTTCTTCGTCAATTGTGTTTAACAAGATATTTATTTATTTATTTATGGACAATATTTAAGCAGAGATGCCCAGTTTAGCAAAGCTGGTTTTAAAATATTTAAATATATATATAGAAAAATATATAAACATTTACATATATTACAAGCATAATATAGGGATATTTATGAATTTATAATTGCGAGGATGTCTGAGCCACGGGGCTTAAAACTAGAGACACCACACACAGGTCAACTAGTAATTCGTCAAATGATAAACCATTTAGCGAGTTAGCTTTATTTCTACTCACTTTTTTCTCTCTTATTTTTACTCACTTTTTCTCATTTTCTTCCTCTTTAGGGACGAGATGGCCGAGATGTAAGTTATTATACATTATTAGTACTTTATTAATTATTAGTACTTTTGTTTAGAATGACACCTTTTAATGCAACTCCCAAATAGGGTCACAAAAACTCCCCTTCCCGGGAGCTTTCACATTGTGAACAATAGACTTGGCCTCGTCTTTGATTTTGAGTAAATTATCATAGCTTTTTTGTTTATGAGATTTTTCCTTTGTCTTTAACAGGGAGCTCCAGGTCCACCAGGACCCCCTGGACCAAGAGTGAGTATAATAATAATAAATAATAATATATATAAGTTGCATTTAAAAATGGGGTGGTTTAGTGGCGAGAATGGTCGCTTCTAATTATATTATATGTCACCACTGCTCCCCGGTTCGATTCCGATACGCCTTGTGGCCCTCTTGATGTCTCTAAATGACATAGGACGTGGTTATCGTGGTTATCGTGGACGTAGGTATATACCACTGACCAATATTTTTAGAGGAACGACAGCACGTTCTGTTGGGATATTGAAGATATTTGTATTATTTGATTGTAGGGTTATCCTGGACAATCGCCAATTGCAGGGGTAAGTCATTAATCAATTATTAATCGTTAATAGATATTAGAGTTACACTCTACTCATATAATGTATGTCGTATCATTGCTGACAAAATATTATCGCTGTGTTGTTATAATTATTCATTCATTCGCTTATTCATTTTAACTATTTCAGTATCTCAGCGTCGGAGCTGTTGAGAAAGGACCCGCTTACCGACTCTACACAGGAGAACAGGTAGGTACCTAACTATACTGAAACTTATCATTACTCCTAGGTAATGAGAGTTATATACTCATCTTGGTAACGCCCCTGTGAAAATATTAAAAAACAATATTTAGCCCTTCCTTCGCTTGTCGTTGAAAGTACCTTGGTGCCTAAGTGATGTATTATTATTATTGTTATTGTTAGTATTATTCCTTCTTATTTTTATTTTTCACTTTCATGTTATCCTAATTTTTAATCATTGTTTTCGTAGCTCTAGGTATTTTATGATCAAAGTTATTTTATATCTTTTTGTAAAAGTCGTATTGCTTTAATAAAGTTGCCATTATTTTTATCGTTCTTTACACAGTCAAAAAGGAAAGCCAAACCCGAAGGCATGGAGGCTCCTAGTGTGAGTATCTTATCTTTATGTTCCACAGTAGAGATCAAAGTTCTGCTAATCTCATCTCAATCGCAATTAAATCTCATGCGAGTTTCATAATTTATTCACTGTATTAATATTTGTTGTGACTGGTCGAACAAATGTTAGTCATTCAATCTATATTCAAAGTAGTTAATACAAATTTGAATGATTGTACTTCGGAATTACCTTGCAGTTTTGTTAAAATGGTTCGTCTTTGATGAGTGAGTTAATCATATCCCGCCCCACCCCACCCTACCTATTTCCCCTTTTGCTCAGAATTTTGCGCCTATTGAGATCCATTTGCTTAAAAAACTTGTAACTGATGCCTTTATTATCTCATGTACTCTTTTGCTGGCTGGAACTCGTTTACTTTGTCCAGTCTTGTTATTAGCCAGCCGAGGTTGAGGGAAAAAATTTAGTTTTAGGAGACGAAATGGAAGCAATCTTGGAAATATGTCCTCTAAAAAAAACAAAAATGCACTACGATGCCAACTTCCTCAACCTCGGAATGGCTAATTATTCTAGCCTATGTTTTTATATGTACACCTACTTGCAAGAAGGTTGCCATACAAGAATAGAACATTAGTAATTTAGTGAGAAAGGAATACATTAAAAGACAAAAGAGTAAGTTCAGTTTCAGTGATCTTCTGTTTTTTAATATAATTCCTATCCCACTAAATCACTAATGTTCTATTTTCGTATGACAACGTTCTTGCAAGTAGGTGTATATAATTGCCATTTATTAATAGTTATTTCTGGAAACTCTCTTTGACATGCAGGGCTTTTTTTACGAACTTGAAAAACTGAACGACATGTTTGATAACCTTAATAAACCAACTGGTAAAAGCAATGAGTTCCCTGGTGTCACATGTAAAGATATCAAGCTCGATCATCCAACATTCAAAAATGGTGAGTATATGGCTCCAAACCCTTAACGAGATCCCTGTATATCACTTCCGTCTTCCTTCTTCCCTCCCTCCCTCCCTTCTTTCCCTGCCCTCTCTTCCTTAATTCCTTGCTTCCTTGCTTCCTTGCTTCCTTCCTTCCTTNCTTCCTTCCTTCCTTCCTTCCTTCCTTCCTTCCTTCCTTCCTCGTTCCCTCTTTTCTTTCTTCATTTCTTTTGTATCCTAAGCTAGATTTTTATCCATTGCTTTGTCTCAGGCTGGTACTGGATCGACCCCAATGGTGGATCAAAGAACGACGCAATCCAAGTCTACTGTAATTTCACATCAAATTCCTCGTGTATTTCTCCCAGTAAATCCAAGGTGCGTATTAACAAAACGGAACGGTTCGTATTTTTGGTCAGGGGTTGCTTACCAAATACCCAAAAAAACCGGAAATTTCGGTTGAAAAACAAATGGTGTGTATCATTCCGATCGGATAGTTCCGGAAAACTCAGTCTTCCGATTGAGGTAATCCACTATTCCCGCTCTTTTCGGTTCTTTCGGCGGTAGACGCTTGTACATGTACCATTTTTCTAAATCAAAGTTTCCCGCTCTTTTCTTACCATTAGCGAATTTCCAACCGAATGGATTGGTTTAAATAGTAAACACCCCTGTTCTGAGTTTGGTTTAGGGACGCGCTATGAATGCTCATATTTCCAATAAAAACCACGAGATTCTTTTGTCCTTATTCACAAAAAGGACCAATTGTATACCATAAATATATTATCTTCCGACAGAGGACAAAACAGACTACCTATTTATATAATTTTCTTTTATCAATTTAGCCTATTAAGATGGAATTCAAGAATAAATGGATGAGTGAGCTGTTAAAACTAGAAGAGGTAACGCGATACCGCTATACTTTTGATTCCGTCCTTTACTCCTTGAAACCTTTCCCACGGGGAATAATAGGCCAGCTACTAAACTTTTTCCCTCATACAGATCGAATACAGTGCCCATAAGAGTCAAATAAATTACCTACGTGCCCACAGCAAGAAAGCTGAACAGAACGTCACCTATCACTGTCTTAACTCCAAGGCATGGACTCTTCAGAAGTCCATTAAATTACGTGGCGACAATGATATGGAATTCCATTCACGAAGTCCTTCCAAGTTCAGACCGACTCTCGTTAAGGATGGCTGTTCGGTAAGTGAAGCTTGCCCAGGCCTGACTTTTAAGGTTCATGTCACTACTTCACATCACATGAGCCGAACCTAATGACACCAAAGAAGACCGCCTTGTTATCCATTATTTCAATTAGGTTCGGCTCATGTGAATTTCGACGTTTGATCTGAGCCTTAGAGGACCAACAGAGACATTGGTGGGTCAAGAGGTCGACAAAATTGGCTTTAGATGCAAAAAGGATAGAAGCAGAATGATAAAAGCGTCTAAGACCACTAATTGTGCATCCTGTTTTAGATTGAGTACAAACTTTTTCCTTTTGTTTCATTTTCCATTTTCCTTCTTATGATGATCACTTATGAATCCCATTGGTACCGTAAAAATAAACTATCACGCTATTCACCTGCTTTTTTCTCCGTTATCTCTTCAGAGCAAAGACAACAAATGGCATGAAACTGTCCTCATCATAGACACAGCACAAAAACACAGGCTTCCCATCGTAGATGTGTCAGTATTTGACATCGAAAAACCCAACCAGCAAGCCAAAATAGAAATTGGACCAGTATGCTTTGCGTAACGAACGTTCGATGTCGATATCACGCTGAAAAAAACAACCTCTGTTCTTGTACAATATCAAAATAAAATGTATCGCCTCCATTGCAAGATGAAAGCGGAAAGTACTTTTATATAGTTTTGTATGTAATTCATTTCTTTGGATTATGTTAGTTCTTTATTAAAATACAGATCATGTGAGTAGCCAAGAAATATGGTGCATAATTTGAAGCTGTGATTCTACAATAAATGCAGTTACTTAGAATTAAGAGTCAATGTAAATCAGTGCTCTGTGCTATACTCTTTTGATTTTTAGATGTGCGCGTATGTATACCTTCTTTTTTTATAATTCACAAATTTCTGGACTCATGGTTCATACCTCAATACTGCCCCAGTGCTCTGTCTCGTATGTTTGGGTCTGTACCAGATTGGAAATAAAAACCACGACAAATAGGTTTTAAAAATTATTAAGAGCTTAAATTTTTATTAATGATTCACTGAGTATTGAGTTTATCAGAACATTTATCGTGTATGACAATTGTGCAAAGTCGTTTCGAATGATTAATTATTAAAACAACTTGTATCCATTAAAATACATCTTTTTTTTTTTTCATTTTACAATGAAAGTATTTGTGACTATTTTCAAACCTATTTCCAAACCCATACGGTACTGCTTTCATCGGTTTAGCGTTAATTGTCCAAGAATATATGTAATATACTACATATACGAGAGATTGCCCGGGGGGATAGTTCTCTCTTTTGGGGGGGGGGGGGGACTTCAATTGGGGGTCTTAAGAATTTTTTTGTAATTTAAAGATTTCACCTGCCCCCCCCTCTCCCTCTGCCACATATTATGGACGCAGCCTTTACAAAACGACTTTCTTTCTTGAGGATTTCGCCAGTTACACTTTTCACATCGCTTGTTGATGGTTCGTTAAAGTGCCTATATCACCTAACTCGATATTTTCAGTATTGGTTCTACATAAAGTAAATATTTGAATGCTGAAATATCTTTATGTGATTTGAGTGATGTGTATCTTGCAGATATTATCAAGGTTTATACTTCCAATATGTTAATGATGAGAGTATGTGGACCGCGTGGCACTAATGAAATAGTAGAAGATAATATAGGTAAGTTGTAGTGCTTGGGAACGAGGTTATTCCGGGCGAAAGCCCTTGGAATTAAATTCGGAAAAATTAATTTCCGACCTCGCTGGGATTCGAACCCCAGCGAGGTCGGAAATTAATTTTTCCGAATTTAATTCCAAGGGCTTTCGCCCGGAATAACCTCGTTCCCAAGCACTACAACTTACCTATATTATCTTCAATATGTTAATGATGTGATATCATTATAGGAATTTGAGTTTTGTCATCATTTATAAATAAAACACTGATTATTATGAGAAAACAAATTTGCAATAACCTTTCTACAAACCCTGAGTAAGACGTTGATGTTGTATGCAGTATATTTTWCTGCCCTAGAAAAGTTTTGTATATTTAATCATGCCTATAATGACATCGTATTCATTAACATATTGGAAGTATAAACCTTGATATCCTCAAGATGCGCCACTCAAATCATATGAAAATTCTTTTACCATTCAACTAATTCACTTATGTAGAATCAATACTGAAAATATCGAGTTAGTTGGATGACTAATGAGGTGTTTAAAAAAACTTGATGTATAGGATAATAAAAAAACGGAATAAACATTTTTTTATTATTTAGGCACATCTCTCTTACAGTAGTTATATTACATCCTACATTCAATTCTTGAGGTGAAGCTTACCCGTGCTTTGAAGAACTCGGTGAGCGATTTCCCTTCACGCGCAATCCCAAGAAAAGATTGCTTTGAGGAGAAGTCATATTTTTATGTGGTAAGTTGTCAATACGAAGAGCTTGTTTAAGTGATTGCTTAAATGTTTTTAAAGTTACTATAACAAATCGAAGTAGCTTTTCTCTCATGATCGGCTGCAATCTTTATATCGAACATACTGAACATAGGCGTCGGCAGCCATAAAAGCGCCTCGTCCGCGAACAGGAGCGCATTTAGTGGTTTCACTACGAATCGAAGTTTGGATTTTTTGACGACATTTTAAGTTCGATAGAGTACAGACCTTAGAAAAGTCACTTTGTTTCTTTCCAAAACATTAAAATTTTCATCGATATTGGGTTCTCGCTATTTTTTTTAGACTCTTTGCCGGATGCTGTGAAAGCGATGGCACGGGAGTTGATGAATGCGAATGAACGATAGAAAGGAAAGACTGAATGGATGGATGAGAGCCGTGCACATACATAACTTACTAAAGTACAAACACTAGAAGTGTGCAACAATTTGCACTATTTATTAGTAAATAGTGCTAATTTATAAACAATAGAAAACAATAGAGTGACCAGAGTAAATTCGTGAAATATTAGTAATACTAAATTACACAGTTTTATGCAAATTCCATTGTTTTCTATTGTTTAACTAGCACTATTTTGTACTATTTAGTAAATAGTGTTTCACGGATTTACTGTGGTCACTCTAGGATTAGCATAATTTAGCAGTATTTAGTGGTATTTATGTTGCACAATTATAGTGTTTGTACTCTGTAATTCAAAAATCATAATTTATAAAAACACCCAATAAAACAAACAAACAAAAAGGTTATATGAGCTCGCCATTCCTTTGCGGCCAGCAGTATCTCCCTGAAACTAACATCAATGGCGGATAAAACCAGACGCGGATTTAATTTGATCGAACGATTCTCACAAACAAAATATCTCTAATTCTCTAATTGATGAAACCTGAAAAGCACAAATGGATACTAATGAAGAATGGAGTGTTCCGAACAGTGACGACGAAAGGGACGAAGAGCTACTTGGTTTAACACAAAATGGCTGCCACGATGTGCCTGTGAAAATCCTGAAATACTACGAGGACATTGAAAAGAATAAAGTATTAGAACTGAACGTGAAAGAGTTTAGAAAGCCTTTTAAGCAAGATATTGTTGATGGTGATAAAGATAGTTGTCAGAAGGAACTTCAGGAGGAGAGAAAAGACGACGAAGAGAGTTCAACTTGTGCAGACGAAGAGAAGGAAACACATCTAGAAAAGTAAGACAGTATATTTTGCAACTTCATGATATTGTACAATACATTATTTTTGCATTAGTTTACTATTTACACGTGAAATATTAGAGGAAGTAAGGTTTAGAATTTGAATTGTTGTGCAGTTAAAATGCATGCAGGGATTGGTTTATTAATTGTGAAAAAGGACAAGCATAACTGTTGAGAGAAGAGCAGTGTACTACCAAGACTGCATGTTGCTTCCGATTCCAAAAGTTTTGGACCATATCATCTTTGATCGCAATAAAATTATCGGGAGAAGGGGGAGGGAGAGGGTCACCCCTTTCCTCACTCACTAAGCTACTGGTACTAATTAAGGGACCAATAGTTTATTGTATGTTATGTCATAGGGAAAACAAATTTTACTTATTCCCCCCCCCCCCTCCCCTTTCAACACACACACACCCCAAATTGTCTTTAATTAGTGCTAAATATCACTATCATACAATAGAAGGAATTACAGAAGCTAAAGAGACTTTTGGAGTAGTTTTATCAAGTTTTTTTACAGCTTTTTTTAAATAACTTTTTTAATAGATCAAATGAACCTTCAGAGTTTGATTATCTGGAAGAACCAGATGAATGTCAAGGACAGCTTACAAGAAGAACTCCCAAAACTGGTAAGATTGAGAATTTGAATTCCACATTTGTGAGTTAGCTGTGCCCTGACATTGATAGGCCCAGAGGCTGTTTAAGGGTTCAATCTGTAAGTTAGCCATGCCCTGACTGATCAACCCAGATGCTGTTTCAGGGTATCATTAAAACTGGAGGCTTTTTTCCTGCAAAATCACTGCTTCTTACCCCGGTGTTCCTGGTTTTCACCATTATGCGTTTTAGGGAATCACGGGTGGCATACCAATGAGAGCACTTGCCTTAAACTAATGCGACCTGGATTTGAGTCCCGCCGGGCTTGATGTTGAATGTGAGTAGAGTTGATTGTTGGTTTTCTCCTGTGCATGTTTTAGGGTCTTTCTCCTGGTTCTCCAGTTTTCCTTCTCCACAAATATCAACTATATATCAATTTTAACAAAATATATTGATTTTAACAAAGATGTACTGTAGTGTTAAAACCATCACTTTAATTGCATTTTAGGAAGACTACCGAAGAAAAGAGTTGGGACCCTAAAGAATGTTATCTCCAACTTAAAACGTTACAAACAACTTGATAGTTCTACTAGTGAAGACCCAAAGCTAACTACTGCAGAAAACAAATCTGATTTTGAAAGCAAAAAAGATGTTAGTGAGGTAAAGGAGCTTCTTCAAAGAAATGTTCAAAATAAAATAAAATTACTGCACTGTGCCTGGGGGAAGGGGGGGAGGGTACTATCTCCCCAACTTGAGTAGGGGTGTGCTGCCAGGACCTCAAAACCCTGACCCTATCTCAGACCTAAAATTTTGATTTTACATACCCTACCCCAGACTAAAACTAAGAATTGTACACCCTATCCCAGACTAAGCCCGATTAGTCAATAGATTGCAATCAATATTTGCAATATTGTTTTTGTGCTGTCAGAAAGTGTAGTCTATTTGCCAGACAAAAACGACCAAATCGTTAACCCTATCCCAGACTAAAACGACCAAATCGTAACCCTATCCCAGTCAAAAAGGGCACCCTATCCAAGACAAGATGCCAAAAAATGATACCCTACCCCAGACCCAAAAGCCGAAAAACCATACCCGTATAGCAAATAGTATCCCCCCCCCGGGCACTGTGGAGTTATAAAGCATTTGGGGATTGGCAGAACACAAGAGAAAAACAAAGTTTAGCAGTTCTTAACACTAATCTTGAGTGTTCTTCAAATCCCTAGTAGCTTTTGTCATAACTGCAGCACAGCAAACAAGTTTTTTATTTACATTTTATAAAATATGAATTAGAATAATAACTAGTATTTTAGATATGGTTCGCTGTTTACTTTTATGAATTAGGTGACCAGTGGCGGATCCAGGGGGGTTCGAAGGGTTCAACGGAACCCCCCTTGAAGGTTTGATCTTTTAGGTAATAGAAATATGTCTTATATAAATTTTGCTTAAAATTATCCACAAGGATAATGTTGAACACGAAATGGTAAATATTTGCTGTTATAATGTTTAATTTACCTTTAAGTTCCATTACTAGATAGTAAATTAGGTGATTAGAGCCAATTTTTTTGTCAGACATCAACTAAACAAAAGAGAATTATACACAATTTAAGAAACGGAACCCCCCTTTGAAAAATCCTGGATCCGCCACTGGTGACCCAACCAATCAGGGAATGGGGTTCATAATAGGGGATATAGCTTGTGGTAATCCACTCGCTTCTCCTCTCTGAGGTCACTGGTTTGATTCCTGGACTCTGCATCAAATGTGAGTAGAGTTTGATAGGCATCTCGCTTGATGTAAGAGTTTATCTCCAATTTTCCTTCCTTCACAAAACCTATGAAATGTTAGATTCCAATTTCATCTGTAACTTAGCCATGCCCTGGCATTAATAAGCCAAGAGGTTGTTTCAGGGTTCAATCTGTGAGTTAGCCCTGTTCTGACTTAGATCAGCCCAGGGGTTGGTCAGTTCAGGGTTCAGTCTGTGAGTTAGCTGTTTCCTGACATAGATCAGCCCAGAGGCTGTTTCATACAATAATTTTTTTTCAACAGCCAAAGGATGATCCAGATGACTCCAAAAACACATAATGGAATACATGCAATTTTGTAAATATTAAGAAAACCTTATGTTTCAAACAAGAAGAAGAATAGATGTTTCTTGAGGCAAGTCTGCTAAGCATTGGAATCAGTCGCTAGCTGTTAATTGAAAGTTTACTCATTTTGTACAAGGCTTTGTTGACTACTACAGTGTATATACAAATGGGTTTGTAGGCTGTGTTTGTAGGTGAGTGAAATCCAAAAGTCATGAATGGTGTTTGATAGGGCATTTGCATGACTCCCTTGTGGGAATACAAATTTAGATAAGAAAGAAAATTTGTGAAGTATTATTGTAGTGGGAGTCAAATGACGCCATCATGCGAATGTCCTATTATCCTAAATATATTAATTGCTGCACATGATGAACTATAGTTTTGCTATGCATGGCAACTCCAACCTTGACTTGGTATTTTTATTTGTGAACACTGAACACAACAATAGCAAGATTTCTTCAAAATCATTTTCAGGTTCAAAACAAAAAACCTGAGATTGAAAGTTATTCCCAGAAAATGACTTAAATATCCTCTGATGTATTCATTTTAGATCATACACATTCAAAAGATATGAAAGGTGTTCAATATTTACCTATATGTATAAAAATTTATGAACATTCCAAAAGTTGTATCACTAGATACATCTGATCAACATACCTTTTACGGTATGTACTATTTCTATGTTCTATGTATTTTGAACTGGAAACCATCCTGCTACATGTACAGGACTGTGAAATTCATATATGTGTACCATTTGTCACTCATGATTTTAAAGTGCCTATGACATTCTATTTTTTATTTTTTTATATCAAAATATAAGTCATTCTAAGAGAGATTCCGAAAGAATCTTTTGATTTGACACTTCTTTCATTTTTCAGAGCAGTTAAGTTGAAAAATGGTTGATTTTTTATGTTTAACTGCTTGGAAAAAATAGAAAGAAGGATCAGAATTTTAACATGTACAATCTTAGAATGACATATCTTGATCATGGGCTGTAGGAGAATATTTGGTTTGTGATGGGTAAAATGCTTGTTAGTAGACCAAATAAATCACTAATGAGTTACTTGGATCTGTCTATCCATATTCTATTGATTGTTACCAAGAGAAAATGAACTAGTTCATATTCTCTTGTTGTTACATAAGTCTTCGACAGCCCAAGGATAGCCTTATCAAGTGAGTTGCAAAACCTGTTTGGGTTTCCCTCCACCACGGAGGGGTAAATCCAATTAGATTTTTTACCATATAGAAAGAAAGAAATTCAATGTATTTTGCAATACTATTTTTCTTACAATATTCTTTGCAAAGCATGTTGCTTGCCAGTGCATGTCTTTTTCTAATCTTGTTACTGTATTTTCTTGTGAATGTTCGTTCTTACTTGAGATGGTTTTTATATCCTGTTCTACTGATGTTACTGTATTTTCCTGTGAATGTTTATCCTGACTTGTATAAGGTAGATAAGGTTTTTTAAAAGAGATTGTTTGTATATTTTGTTCTGCTGTCATGTTACTGTATTTTCATGTGAATATTTATCCTGACTTGTATAAAGTAGATGAGGTTTTGACGACCCAGCGACCAATACCACCGCCACCTCCTGTGAATACAAACATTAGTACAGATCGCCATTCACTAGGGGAGAGGTAGTGGGGACATGTAGAGCAGGATAGGAGGTGGTGCCTTCGTGTGCACTGCCATTCAAAAAGGGAATTTTCAAATTATCATGCGGAACACGTTGATCGATATGCTTTCATACCATGAATGGCTTCACATCGATGATTGGGTAACAGGACTTTATCACAGGCAATCATTTCATCTCCCTTACTCAGTCATAGGTTTAGTCATTTGTATAAAAATAATGTCATAATTAATATAGAACTGACCTCCACCTGTGCCATAAGCGCATTGTCTAGGCGTCCCTCCTTCCACACGAATCTTTCCAGCAACAGTACCAGACAATTCCTTAGTAAAAATAACCACACTACCCCCCGCACCACTACCCCCTGGGGCAGCACGATGAGCAACATTACTTGAAGCGCATTCACCACGTGACCCTGTGGAATGAAGTGAACGAGAACTTCGAACCATGTGAGATAATGATTACACGTTATAACTGATTCACGTAATAACTATATATAACATTATAACTTACCCTGTGCTTCTATCGATCCATTCAACGTCAGCTGGTCCAAAAAGAGCAGTACCAGGCCACCACCGTTACCTCCTTTCCCACCAATAAACCCATGTTCATTACCACCGCCCCCTCCCCCTCCCCCACCGTAGCTAAGATGAGTGTTGAAATCCACGTTACCATACTGAAATCCACCTTGACAAAAAAAAGTAGTTTAGAATAAATACTTATGTTAAAGTACACCCTTTGACAATGCGTTAAGTACATTAACATATTGGAAGTATGAACCTTCATAACTTAAAAACGCATCACTCAAATCAAAAAATATTTTACCATTCAACTATTTACTTCGTGTAGAATCAGTGTATCATACCCTGCTCAAAGGAGACTGCCAACAGGTTAAGGTTACCAAAGACAGTACACTAAAACTTTGTTGATTCGAATGATTTATTTTGCTCTCAAACTACTCACGTCTCCCCGAATAGACCTATCCCGAATTCGCTTGACTTGCCACGAAACAATGGTTTCAAGTCGAGGTTGAACTTGATGAACAAAAGAATAAAGTCCAGTCTCGAGTTCAAACCATTGTTTCGTGGTCATCCAAGCGAATGTGGCGGTAGCTGTCAATCAATTCCTCATCGATGACTAATTACAAAATCGCTAGGGAAAGGTGGCTCACGGTCATCAGTACTGAAAGTTCATGTGCACTTTGGCCACTCTTTCCCTCCTCCTCTCTCCCTCTTTCCTTTTTCTTCCGCGCACATCAAAATTTCTTTGATTTAAGTAAAGAAGTAGGTAACGGAAAGCTTTTTCTTGCAACCAATACCAATTTGTTGCGCGCGTACGCGTAGTGGTATCACGGGTAACGCAGCAATGTTGTGCAAAACGGTGCACGATTTTATATCCATGTTACCACACTTCAATTCCATCACCAAAAATAGAAATAGAAATAGTGATGGTTGATGTCAAGGTACTTTACCTCCACCTCCTCCACCACCATAGTCTGCGCTTGGAGAATTGCCTGTAAAAAAATATTTGAAATTAAAAAAAAAACACTGAGGTGACGTCGAATCTAGGAACGAATGTCAAGTCATTTACCACTTGAAAAGTAACTACCAAATATGATTGATTAGCTGAAGTTCATCTTGTCGATCGTAGACCCGGAAATGGTGCATATATGCGAAAACTTTTTAAAACGTGATTAAAAGTATGGTCGGCAATGTTGCTGGCAATGACATGATGTTCTCAGCTAAAGAAATTCTCATTTACTTCTGGGCAAAATTCTGCTTACTGGTGGGGAAAAAAATCTTAAAACGGGCTAAATTCAAAAAATAACCACGCAGAGCGAAAGAAGTGCTATTTCTCAATGATCAGGTAAAATTTCGAGGCTTTATTTCACGTTTCAATGATTTTATTGAAATTTTTGATGAATTCCATACATTTCCTTATAACAGGACACCACAGAAACCAAGCTTGGGCTACCTGTGATCGAGGTTGAGGAAAAACTGGATCGAGTTGGCATTGCAGTGCATTGTGGGGCTGTTTTAGGGGACGAAATAGACGACATCTTGGAAATATGTCCCCTAAAACAGTCCCACAATGCACTGCAATGCCAACTCGATCCAGTTTTTCCCTTAACTTCGGAATGTACTCGGAATGGCTAATACGTCTGATTCTAAGAAGTTCGAGGATTTATTTGATCCTTGATTTCTTACCTCCTATTCCTCCCCTCAAAGAATTTCCTGCATTTCCTCCAGTGGAACCACCAATTCCTCCATTTCGACCAGGGCAGTAAGAAGATCCGCCACCTCCTGCATAGGCTTGAATCTAAAACCCAGAATCTACCAGTAAAAATTGATATCGGTTTAAACAAACTGACGATGGCCACTCACCAATGTTGATGCAATCCCACCAGCACCACCAACATAATTATGACAACCGGTTCCTCCACCCCCTCCACCGCCTCCTGAAAAATGACCAGCTCCTCCTCCACCGCCTGCTCCATCGTCAGGGTTAAAGGTCGAGTCTCCCCCTCCTCCTCCAGCATTTAACCCCCCTGGTCCTGTTGTCATGACTGAAAACAATGGTCATGAGTTAAAACTTCGTCCAATCTGGCATTTGCTGACTATCGATAAGCGAAAAGCATAGATACAAACCTTCCCCTGAACCTCCTCCATGGTCTCCTGTTTGACCAGCATCTCCACCTTTACCGTACGTGGATGATAAGCATACGAATGTTTCCCCTCCGAATCCACCGCCACCAGAACTGCTTCCTCCGGCACCGCCATGGAAACCTTAACATAAAGTAATTAAACAAATCAAGCTGCTCTCTTATTACGTGATTGATGACGGGATTATTGATAGAGGCTGCTAACCATACCTTTCCCATTGACTTGTATCTTGGATGTGCTGTCTATTGTTAACTTGGTTGCTCTCAGAGCTAGGATACCACCCACTTCTCCAGACCGAGCACGACAAGTCACTTGACAGGACTGGGTCAGAGAGATGTGGTCAAAATATGGCAGTCGTTGAGCGATTAGTTCACATGGAGAACCGGAGAGTGTGATGTTGATCGGTGCTAGCAGCGTTACGGTGCATCTAAAATGAGAAAAAGTAAAGTAGACGACAGCAAGAGAATATATTCTCTTGACGACAGCTATTCCTAAAACATTCTGATAGATAAGCTCGTGTTAGCTTATATTAGATATTTTTTTTCTTACCCTGTGTTCTCTTTGACCTTGACGATTTGGTATTTACCATAATCACCCAGGCTATCAGTTCTTGCTCGACTAACGAACAAAAGAAGTTCTGCTGTGTTCGTAATATCATCGGGGTTACAACCCGAGAGATTGAGGCTAGTAGGGCCTAGGATTGTAGCCTGCCACGCGGTCATATTCGAATGACAGAGGTCTAGAACCTGATTGGAGCAACTGACGTTTCCTCCTGAAGATCAAAACAAAATGAGAAAAAGAATTAATGAGAAACTGAACGCGCAAAATTGAACACAAATGGCTATTTAATAAAAAGGCACACAGCCCTTATGGTCTACAAGTCAATATATAGTTCAGGAGGTCGAAACGTCATTTAACATTTTGAAATTACGCTGAAATAATTTATTTTTTGAGTTCTTTCGATTTTAAAAAACCTGCACTTTTCGCTATACGAATACGTACAGCTATTTTTTTAAAAAGTTGAACATTGCATACGAAATAGAATATTACAAAAACCAAAATAAATTTTGGGTTTTATATAATGATATTGTCTAAACCGAGTAAAAAAATATTATTTATTTACTCAATAGAGTTATCATAATTGTAAATATCTATTTTTTCACTTTTTATTAAAACTTACGATTGTAAAGCGCATTTGATCATTTTGCCATGGAAAATCGCGCTATAGAAATTATTATTATTATTATTTATTTTGTTTTTAGTGCATTCCATCCGAAACAATATACTATAGCTACACATAGAGAGCAAATCAATACTGATATTTTACTTTCCATTTCAAATTAGCGAGACCCACAATGCCCTTTGGTCTTGGAATGCATATTCAGTATTTAGTATTCAAATAGCTGTATATATATAGATAGTATATATAGTATTTACACATACCGACGACATAAGATATCATAGGAAAAATAATAAAGGAAAACAAATAAAGGCGAAAGCGAAACAAATTTTTCGTAGTGCATTTTTCAGTAATAGATTTTTTTCACACGTTCGTATTAGGGAGGGCATCATCTTGACCTCGAATAAAAAACACACTGCCATTTTATTATTTAATGCTGGCGTAGAATTTTGTATTTTGTGTTCCTAAGAGAAATTTAATGAATATGACGCTTAGCTAGGTAAATATTTTTTGAAACGTTGATGAAGGTTTATCAGGAGCACCACTGGTCTCCAAGGTGCTATGAAATGCAAAGTTTTGCATCTAAAAATCTCACATTAATCTATATAATAACGAGTTGTTATGAGGATGAAAGTTTGACAATGAAAAAGGAACATCGTGATCATGAAAAGGTTCACGCAAAGCATGGCTGCTGTGAATAAGTGTTGCTAAGAGATTTAGGACAAAAATGTTAGATATATATATATATATGTCAAGAAAAGTGAAACTTCTTCAGGCATAAACGTTTTAATTTGTAGTTAGACGTTTCGCCGGTTAGGACTTTCGCAATAACTTGCATGAGCGTCGATTAACAATTGGAATTATTTGTATGACTCGATATGTAAATCGAGTGAATAAATCATTCATATTTAATGAAAGACCTGCTTGATGACGACATAACGGTAGGGAATTGGTAAAACCGTTTGCCTAGTAATAATTGTGTTAAATAGCTAGTTTTCAATATGTACATTTAGTATTCGGGCAAAAAGAGTTGTTATAACAGTAGAGCTATAGTTTTTATTACGTAATGCAGTAATTAATTTAACAATCGATATGTGAAAAATTAATCCAAAGTTCAAATACTTTGCTCAATTTTTGTACACAACGTTAACGAATTATTTGTTTTGCGAAGGACTTCCCCCTATTCAATTATATACACCTATTTCAAAAATCGTCGCACCAAAAGCCTCAAGCATCATATAAACACTCCTTTCTACCACCTCTTTCTCTTTTACTCCAACGAAGGACTAGCGTCTGAAACGGCAGTTTTTTCATCCTTTAACGGTGTATAATGATAATTTACCCCTTTATCATTACTGTTTCATTAGAAACACCGAAGTTATCTCTTCCAAACAAATACTGATTTCTTTATTGAACATTTAGCGCTGTTTAAATTAAAAATTAATATGACAAAAAAGAAGTCCCGAATTGAAATTTGAATATTATCATCTTGACACGAAATCTCGCACAAATTAAAATGATTCATGACTCCAATTTCCAAGACCTTGTGGAAGTAATATTTAGTATATACAAACCCTTAAAACATTTTATTTTAACAGCTAAGATTATTCAGCAATTGTTTTTCTTAATTTGATCACACATACAGTGCACCTGCTTCTTGAACATATGGACCAACAGTCCGCGAAAGCACGTCTTTTTAGCAATAAGTAATGTAAACGAGTACTATAATTTACTTCGCTAATATGTTTTATAGCAAGCTGAAAATTATCATGTTTTACCTTTTCGAAGATCCTCACAAGTTTTTCCAGTGTAATATTTGCTGCATTGACAATGAAAGGTTCCGTTGTTGGGGTACGGAATACACTTGGCATCGTTACGGCAAGGATTGTCGTGGACACAAATGTCGTACTGCCGTACCAACATATCCATGTAAAAGACGCTGTCACTCGAAATGAAATCACTTAGAAACCAAAGTTTTGTTTTGTTGTTCAGTTCGCAGGTACTGGTTGTAGTAAAGTGGTTGATACTGTAGCAGGCAGGATGTTCAGTACAGAGAACTGTACAACGTTCAAACGTAACATCATGAACTGTGTTCAGGACATGGTTAACAAGACGATATCCGTGTACTGCATTAACGGTTTGACATTCTTGGCTGGAAATTAGTTTGACAATTGTTCCAAACAGAAAAGCTATACATACGGAAGTTGTACAAGGAGTACTAAGTTGGGTCTTCATGTTGCTGTGTCTGCTATCCCTGCACCGAGCCTTCCACCTGTTCATTATTAATTATAATTTATAGTTGAATATATATATTTTTTTAAACAAGCCATGTTAGGTAGATGCCAAAATCGGCTCTATTTTAATAGAATTTGAAGACTAAAAGCTCTATTGTGCACTGGTCAGTTGCAAAAACTGTTAAACTTTGCCAAATCGTTTATGATATTCGCGATAAACTTCATAATGCTTTTGTCAGATCATTTTGCCTTGGGCCTAGAAGTTTAATATTTATGCAAAATATGGTTTCATACTATTCACAAAATTTGCATGTTGTTTACGAACTGTTAAATTTGTCCCTGTCTAACTGAAATTGAGTAAGGGTAGTTTTAAATGCCAGTTATTTTCTAAACTTTTTCCCACAGGGTTTCAGAGGTTTGGGTTAACAACCTCGACCACGTGACTAATCGGTAGTACGAAAAGTGATAAAAACCCCTAAAAGTAAACTAACTAACCTGAGTATCAGTCCTCCAACTCTGTCAATAATGGACTACTTCGACGATAAGGCGGCCATCTAGCTTGGGGACAAAGCAAAACAATGATGACTTATGGGGTCTGCCGATTATTTATATTCGCATAAATTGCAATGCGTTCAAAAATCATAACTCGGGAACCAAATGGTGAATTTTTTAAAAACCGGAATATTTAAACTTTGTATCGTAATCTTCTTTTTGGCAAAATTAATAAAATTTGTTTGGAAAAGTTCCCTCTTACAGATTTTTTCCTTTTTTTGTCAAAAAGAAGATTACAATACAAAGTTTAAATATTCCGGTTTTTACAAAAATTCACCATTTGGTTCCTGAGTTATGATTTTTTAAATAAACATTTTTGATGGCATACCAAGGGTTGTGATGTTGTCATAGCAACGTCTTATATCATTTTTTCATGTCCATTCTCGACTTTCACATCCCCATAATGCCTTACGTCTTTGGGGGGTAACCAATCAAAAAACTGTCCCAAATTAAAAGCTTTCTTAATTGAATGTATACTATACCTTCTTTTATCTGTACAATACTGATTATCAGTTTATTCCAAGTTATTTTTGCGTGTACAGATCATGAAGAGTTTTGGTCTTACAGAAAATGTATGGACTTACGAAAAAATGTTTAAAATTTTCCTTAAACGTCTTCAAGCTTCTATCTATTTCAGTTTTTTACTTCTTCATTTTATCTTTGGATACCAAAAAAGGTATTTTCGACATTGTCTGATCAGCCTTCAGCAAAATAAGTGGGGTTTTACCCTCTGGTTAACCCCAAAGACGTAAAGGATTATGGGGATGTGAAAGTCGAGAATTGTGACTGTTTGGTTTATGGTCTTTGGCTATATAGGTTTACTTGCTGTCATATTATTGCCATATTAAATTTTTTTAAGTTCATAATGTGAAGGCACAAAAAACTATCCAGCTAGCCTCCTTAATGAAGGATAATTTAAATTTTTTGCGCTATATAAGTAATATTATTATTATTATTATTATTATTATGATCATCATATGACTTTCGTGTGTTTGTACGAGGGTGCTACGACAAAATTAGCATGATCAACTTATTAAAGAAAGTATCCGCGCTGACGAAGCGACGCCGGCGCTGCTTGGCACGGATAGTGCAGCGGTAAATACTCCGAGCGTACAGCTGATTCAAACCAGAAAGACCGTTGGTTGGAAGGTAAGTGAGCCCTAATAGACCTATCCCGAATTCGCTTGACTGATCACGAAACTGGTTTCAAGTCGAGGTTGAACTTGATGAATAAAAGAATCAAGTTCAGTCTTGACTTCAAACCATTGTTTCGTGACCAGTCGAGTGAATTCGGGATAGGTCTATTAGTATCTTTTTTAGAAACAAACATCTTGATATATCAGTGAACTCTCAATTTACTGTATTTAGTATCTACGATTAAGTGAAACAAACATACCGATATATAACCCAACTGTGATTGGCGTGCAGCCTTAATTCATCTTTTCAATGTTGTCGACGCCATTACAGTAACGAAGCTTATTTGCACCCTGGAAGCCCCATAATGCCTTGCGATCAAAGATGGGCACCCGTCGTCGAAGTAGTGCATTGCTAAAACTATGCTCAAAATTATTTCCTAAAGGATTGTTGGGTGGTTAGCTCACGGGCGCCAGAGCCTCCTCCACGTTTAATTGGGATAGAACTAACGCATCATGAATGTTTTCGACCAATCTCGTATCTATACTAGAGCCAACGTTCCTTTTGGTCAGCGCCGAGAAACGAGTACTTATACCAAGAGAAACGGGCTCTAGGTACGAGAATGGTTTTCAAAAGTCGAGTAAAGCCGCTATGGAATAGCCTGCGAAAACTGACACTTTCCGAGTGGAGACTGGGGCGAGTCAGATAAAAATCGCAATTTCTCTACTCAAAAAAGAGAAAAAAGTGGAAATTGTTTTTGAACAAGTTTCTTATTTAGTTTCCGAAAGAAAAATGCCTAAACTTTATTAGTTTCATGCTTTTAGTTGCATGCGCAGAAAAATGCGCAGTGCAAAACAAGGGAATTACCTTAAATATCTCAAACTGGGCATGAACGGGACACATTGGGAGTAAAGAAAATCTACACATTTTTAAAAGCATTAAAATACTTGAAATTATCTATAAGACAAACTTGGCTTTGTTCTTTCAATACAAATGCAATATTTTAAACTGACCAATGCTATACTCTTAACCAAAACACCCAAATGGGTGCATCTTATGGAAAATGTGTTACTACTTCTAGATCTTGAATTGAAAAAAATTATGGATAATGAATTTTAGCATAGCTAGCCATCATGAAATATGGTGTATTGCAGTACAAACATTGAAAGTGTCTATGCAACAGACAGCTCCTTTCATCCTTTTTGTTTTACTAAAATCATCACTCTGAAATATAAATTCCTGTTCTATATTTTCCTCCCCAAAGAATGATCTTTATTTTAGAGAAAAACTTCCATAATATTAAATTGTTATTTGCTTGACCTCTTTCGAACTATTAATATTCTAATTATTTTTCTCTTAGTTTCAAGGGCTATTGCGTTTAATCAATGGAACTCCTTCTCTGGAACTGTTCCATGCATTCTTACCGCGGTAAAAAGGTGGAATTTTAACTTTGGACTATAAGTGGACACACTGTTGTATTTTCGATTCTTTTCTTTACATTTTAACACAAAGTATGATCTCGACTTGCTATTCTTCCCGCGCTCTCTCTCTCTCGATCTCGATCTACACGTGCGAATATGCAAATTAAGTTCATAGTCCTTTACGTCATGATCTCGACTTGCTATTCTTCCCGCGCTCTCTCTCTCTCGATCTCGATCTACACGTGCGAATATGCAAATTAAGTTCATAGTCCTTTACGTCATGATCTCGCACAAACATCATTGGTCGGATTGAAGAACTATGTACAAACTTCTGCTATCACATTGAATGATGTTTTCACAGCTATTACACATCAATACTGTGTCAGTGCTGTTGTGAATACGATTTAGTTTTCAAGGTCTTTTATTTGACAGTTTATTGCGTCAAGTTCGTAACAGGATTTTTATAGTATTTTAGTACATAGTGTCTTCAATCGGATATTCCCTTAAAACAACAATTTCATAATTTGGCAATGGCAATCCGTAGGGCTTGGTGTGTCCATAACATAGTCTAACACAGGTGTTGCTTGATTAAAAGTACAGCAAAGAGAGATGACAAATGACATTTTGACCAAGACAACACCTTATGCCTTCTTTCAGTAAACTGTACTAGTCTTTTACTCAAGCACCTCCTATGTTTTTATTAACCTTACATTCAAATGGAGTGTCCCCAAGGTTTGAAGTTCATCCTACTAATAAATCACTTGTTGAGGGGCGCTTTTTTTTAACGGGAGGGTAGGTTTAAAAGCAATTCTTTCTTACCTTGTTTATGGTCCCGGGGGTGGGAGGGTACTCCCCTATACTCGCTATACGGGTACGTGCCGCCAAACAGGTTATGGTTTTCAGCGATTCTACTCTGGAACAGGGTATATAAAATCGCGGTCGCTCTGGAACGGGGTATATGAAATCACGCTCTCTCCTTTCTGGAACAGGGTTTTCAGCGATTTTGCTCTGGAACAGGGTATGAATTTCAGCAATTTTTACTCTGGAACAGGGTCAGGGTTCGGAGGGCTCAGCGGCACATTCCTACCCTAAACGGGCAAGAGTACCCCACCCCCCGGGTTTATGGTTACCTATTTTACTTTGATCCTGGCCTGTAGGTGGCTGTATTCTTGCTTCAATTTTTTATCGAAGAACCTAGACCTTACCTGGGAGTGAACCTGTACCTTCAACTTACCTCCTTTCCTGTAGCCAGTGAATCTGTGCTAGCTGTAGACTGACAAGGTGTTTGTTGAGGGGAAAGGTTTGAAAGTTACTTAAAGCATAATGCTTGTACTGTCTATTATATTGTATTGTCTATTATATACGACGTTTGTATTGTCTATTATATACGACAATAATAATTAGAAGAACAATCTAAATTTAATAGAAAATGTCACTTTCTTTTTTTTCCCCTCTCTCTCTCTTTTCTTCTTTAAAAACATTCAAATGTCATATAAATAGTAGGGGAGGAGGTCGGTAACAAAAATAAATAAATTAATTTAAAAAAAWAATAATAATAATAATGAAAAAAATTACCAACGTATATAAGAAATATAAGGAAAAGAGACAGAAAATTTTATGTATAGCTTTATGTGTATATTTGTATATTGTATTTATTATTTTAAAAAAAAAAAATAATAATAATGCTTGTACATGTAATGAGTGGCATATTAATGACCTAATAAAATTTTGCCTGAATAACAAATGTCTTGTTTATTGCCTACAAAAAAGCAATGTAATAATGAGAAGAAAAATGGAACGGGATAAGGTGAGTAAGAAAAATTTGCCAAGCCAAGCATCGTGAGGCATGGGTAAGTTAAAGTGCCTAATGACCATGAGGTGCCAGGGATGTGATACAGACGCCTAGGGTTCTGGGAAGGAAAAAGAAAATAAATGAGATCGTTAAAATTGGTAATTTTTTAGCCGGGAAAAACACGCAATAGACCTTTTTCGTGGTGTGACAATGTTTTCCCAATTCAGCGTGACAAACCTCTAGGGGAATGAAGATCTATTTTGAAACTCGTCAGGATATCATCGTTATTCCTTTCGTATGAATTTTTCACGTGTGTGTGATTCAAAAGGTGCCAAAACTTTGGTCGATTGTTTACAAGTATTATGAACCACACTCACCGGGCCTATCCGGGCCGATCCAAACGCGTGTAAATGACGTCACCGTGTTTGATTGACGGCAGTCTATTGCAAAGTGCACGTCGCGATTTTTGTCTGGGGTGGCCGCGTAGCAATGCAAGCGCCGGTAAAGGATTTCCTCGGGAACCAGGGTATTCACCTCTCACATTGTCCACAGACATCAAGGTGTTCACTGGTTTTCACTGGACCAAAAAGTGAATGCCCCGGTAATGTCCGAAGGGGGGAGGGAGGGGGGGTGCCGGGCTTTAAATTGAGTCATGCATAATAAACAAGCCTAAGAATACAAGGGAACCTTGGTTATTTAGCTTTATTTTTCGTTCCCTAATAACCAAGCGAACAATACTCTAGGGAACCTTGGCTATTTAGCTTCATTTTTTGTTGGCCAAAAACCAAGCTAAGATTACAAGCAAAGCTTGGTTATTTAAATTCATTTTTACTTCACTAATAACCAAGTTAAGAATGGGAACTCAGTATGGTTAATTAGCTTCATTTTTCGTTTCCCCAAAACAAAGACAAGAATACCAAAAAAAATTGGTTATTTAGTTTCATTTTTGTCCTTCAAAAAACCAAAGTAAGAAAAAAGCACCACTTGGTTATTTTAGCTTCATTTTATATTTTGAAATAACCAAGGTAAGACAAAAGCACACCCTCGTTAATTTAACTTTTGGCTTCGAAATAGCCAATTTTGACCATTTTCGAGCAAAAAGCATGGACTATAGCCCATGGTTTTGAACGATTTTGGACCATTTTCACACCTTTTGAAAGTATATCCATTATTTATGAAGGATGAAAATTAGGACAATTTTGTCCATTTTCGAGCAAAAAGCATGGACTATAGCCCATGGTTTTGACTGATTTGGGACCATTTTCACACTTTTTGAAAGTATATGCATTATTTATGAAGCATGAAAAATAGGTCAATTTTGGCCATTTTCGAGCAAAAAGCATGGACTATAGCCCATGGTTTTGACCGATTTTGGAACATTTTCACACCTTTTGAATCTATATGCATTATTTATGAAGCATGAAAAATAGATCATTTTTGTCCATTTTCGAGGAAAAAGCATGGACTATAACCCATGGTTTTGACCGATTTTGGACTATTTT